AGCTCTCAAAAGACTAATAATTCCATCAAAGAGTTGAATTAGACATGCAACTATGTAATATCCAATTATACTCAGTAGAAAGATTGGCAAGGATATTAATAGATTTTTCATCAAAGAAGAAATGAAAATGACCAAGAAATCTGAAATCCTGTTCAGCTTCATCATGTTCAACCTCATTAAGTCAATGAAAGCAAACTAAGAAGATACCACTCTTCACCTACTGAAACATTTTTAATTCATTATTTCTAATATTGGTGGGGATGCAGTGAAATAGGCCCAAGCAATAAAATTTGGTACAACCTTTCCATTTTTAGAAATTTCATGCAGGTTTATTTTAGCTTTTTATTTTAAAATAATTTTAGACTCAGTTGCAAAAACAGTACAGAGATACCCTACATACTTTTAACTCAACTTTTCCTGATATCACATTTTTAATAATTTATGCTAAGAAAGTATAAGCATAAGAAAGTACACTATATTACAGTATAGACTTAAATATAAATGTGTTATTTATAGTATTGCTGTCAATTATTTTACTTACATCTTGGAAATTTCCAAATCTATCAATTTGCAAGTTTAAACAACTTTTTCAAAATTAGTCTGCATTAGTAGAAGCTTTGTTATAGTGTCAGTGTGTGTTAACTAGTATTTGCCTGTTACTCCCCATGTCTAATAGGTTACATGGACAGTATAGCCTGCAAAAATTATTTTTGTGCCAGACAGATGTAATAGTGAGAAAAACAGCAGTAGTGATGGCTAATATTTTGTGAATGGTTGCCAGGCAGTGTATTAAGTGCCTTACATTGCTATTTCACTTCATCTTCTGATAACTCCAAGTACTATTAACCTCTCCATTTTATGGGTGAGAAACTGTGTGAAAGAGTTATCTAAGGTCAAATGACGAGCAAGTATCCCAGGACAGTATAACTTCAGATCCCACATTCCTGATTACTGACTGCTTTTTGTAGCATTCTTTTTATTTTATTTTTTTTCTTTCTTCTCTCTTCCCTCCATTTCATACTTGTGGGACTAGAAATCTCTTATGTAAGACAAAATGCCATTCCAGCTAGCAAAATATTACCTTACAGTACCTCAGAACACTCTGTATTTTCTAAAGAATGCTAACTGAAAAAGGATTAGAAGCAGAACCAATTTTCATTCTATAAGCACCTGACATCAAGAAACATAGGACTACATTTCAGTGATCTTGACTATTTCTTTATAAGGAGTAGATGTGAGCCTTCCAAGCTAATGGGTCATTTCTCTCCTCACCTTTAATACCGTGGAATGATAGTACAAATGCTTAGAGTTGAATCCTAATATTACATATTCTTGTGAAAGGGAGCAGAAAAACAAAAGAAAAATGAAAGGTCACCAGGGCATGCTGAATTATTCTTAAATAATAATATCAAATTTGAGATTTTATTCACCAAAACTGAAACTGATCATTTAGCCAACAAATATGAAAGCAAACTTTGACCACTAAAGATCTATCAATTTTTACCTCATTGAAACCCGTATACACTGAAAAGTAATTGATAAGAATGTTCTTTTGTCTTTTGAGCTGTTGAGCATTTGGTGACTAGTTGTTTGTTCTGCCAAATATCTATAGAATTTATTTGGAAATCTTGTTTCCTACTTCTGGTAGGCTTAGCTTAGAATAAGTTCTCCCGATTAGTAAAGAACAGTAATAGCCAGCACATATTGAGCTATTTCTGTCTGCCTTGTATTCCACTAAGTACTTTATATTGATTTATTTTATTTAATTTAAAAATAATCAGAATTCACAATTAGTACATTGTGATCCTAAAGCCAAGCTTTTAGCTGTTTCTTTACTTCAGGAGTTGCTAAATCTAAATATCTTCAGGATCTGTACAAATAATTTTAATTAAGGAAAATGGCTGAGTGTGGTAATGATTTTGGCAAATTTAGGTTGCTGTGCTATACCTAAAGATATTCAAATACAATTTTTAAAAACACTATAGGCCAAATTCAAATCAGACGATAGAATGCATACATTTAAAATACTATGGGTGATGGCAGTAAGGCCTTTTTATTTAGATGAAAATTTAAATTATTATTATTATTATTTTTGAATTGGAGTCTCACTCTGTCGCCCAGACTGGAGTGCAGTGGCCACTCCGGCCACCGCAGCCTCGACCTGCTGGGCTCCGGCAATCCTTCCACCTCAGCCTTCCTAGTAGCTGGAATTACAGGCATGCGCTGCCACGCCTGGCTGATTTTTTTTTTTTTTTTTTTTGTAGAGATGAGGTCTTGCTGCCCAGGCGGGTCTCGAACCTGCGGTCTCAGGGAATCCACTCACCTCAGCCTCCCAAAGGTGCGGGATTACAAACTGAGCCACCGAGCCCGACTGGACACTTATTTTAATCCTTGTTCTTTCACATGCTTATGTGAAATTTTGAGCAAACTGCCTAATCTGTGATTAGATCCATAGAGAAGGAAAGAAATCTTTTGTTACTTCTTTTGACAAGATAACGTAAATCGAGGGAAAGTCTCAGACTTAGATAAAACATTTACAATGCATGTCAGTTATGAAGATGATTTTTTCAATAATTAATAAGCAAGGAAAAAACCCTTCTATAAATCAATAATTTTATCACTGTTGGAGAAAATTAACAGGATTTTGGTAAGAATAGTTAATTCAGGCAAAAAGGAATCTGATGCATGTGAAAAGATGCTAAACTTCATTCATAATCAAGGAAATATGAATTTAAAGAAGATAGAATTTTATATCTATCTGGTTGGCAGTACTGTGAATTCTGATGATGCCAAGTATTGGCAAGGATATAGGGGAAGAGGAAAGTGTTGTATACTACTGCTGAGTGAGTCATTGGTATTACCACTTTCATGACCAATTTGGAAAATTTGAAATAAAGTTGATGGTGCTTATACATTAGGCAGTTCCACTTCCAGGTAGCATCCATGGGAAATCTCTCACAAATGGGCCAGACAAGACTAAGCATGCTCATTGCAGCACTATGAAATACCTACTTTTTTTACATTAGTAAATGGAAAAATTAACTGGGGCTTATTTCCACAATAGCCTGTACTTCAGCAGTTATGGAATATTGATACTGAAAAATCTCAGCAGATTGAATGGAAACTGCAAGTTTCAAAAGAATGTGACTTATATGATGCAATGTATATAAAAAATTAATATAATATACATTGTTTATAGATATGTGCATTTACAGTAAAGGAAAAACATGCATTCCTGCATGATAAAAATACACATCAACTCCAGTCCTTTTAGAAAGAGAACCAGAGAGAAGATGAGCTTTATATCTGTAATTAATGATTCTTTTGAAAAAAATGAGAGTTTTGAAACAAAAAAATTAATATCTGTTTTCTCTGTGTGATAAATACATAGGTATGCTTTAATTTTTTTTTTTACTTTCCTGATATTTGAAGTGTCACATACTTTTAAAAGTGTATTTAAGTATAAAAGAAAAAAATTGCAATTATGTGGTAAGAGGTTTTTCTTTTCTTTTTTTTTTTTAATTTTATTTTTTTGCCAGCCCAAGGAAGAAGTATTTAATCCCTGGTGGTTATTCAGGAAAGCTTTGGGTAGAAAGTAGTGGTAGAACTGAGAAAACAAAGGCATTTGCTTGAGCAGAAAGTAAAAGAAAGACCTTCCAGGACAGAAAAAAACAGAACTTACAAAATCATGGAGGCAAGAAGAGGAACATTCGGCGCATGAATTGAATAACTGCAAGTCATTCAGCATAACTGGAAGCCAAGAAAGAGCATGGAGGAGTAGTGAGTGAGATCATTCTGGAAATTTAGACAGAACCCAGATGTTGAAAGCCATAATATGTGCAAATATGTTTGAACTTAATCCTGTGGACTAGTGGTTTTCAGTTCTGGCAATTCATCAGAATTAACTGGATCCCATTCCAGACTTAGTGAATTAGCATCTCTTATGATAGGGACCAGGACATTGTTCTTTAAAAGTCTCAGCCACATCGCTTCTCTGCATTTTGGCTAAGATCAAGTGTAAAGTCTCGGCCACATCTATTATTTTTTTATTCCAACTGGCTGGACAAACGGAGCAAAGATACACTAAAAATGTTTCCTTCGGTTCTGAGATGGTTACTCTGAAGGCTTTTTCTCTCAGACTCTCCAGATTTTTATGAACTGAAAACATCCATGTAAAATTAGATTAAATGCAAAACTGCCCGGTATACAGTCAGGATCTACTCATCATTACTCACCATGGGAGCTTTTGAAGCCTTTTTTGCGTATGATCTGATAAATTTTCTGTTTATTATTGGGGGCAGAAAGTGAAGGAGTTTAAAGGTCCAGGTAAGAAATGAAGATGGCCCTTACTGAATCTTGGGCTATAGGACTGAATAGGAAGTGATGGATTCAAGAGAAGATTAGAAAATACATATGCTCTATGAATGTGATTTTTTAAAAAAGTGAGCTGGTGAGTTGGAGCAAAGAACAGAAGAAAGCCTGAGAAGTAGAGAGAACTGATGGGTTCTAGGTAGATACTTCAGTAGTTTTGATTTTGAGTGTATTTCCAGTCTTAGTCATAGAAAGTGTTGATGATAACTAATAACTTGATTTTATTTTTCTTTAAGTTTGGATAGTATTCCTCTACCTAGCTATTTTATTTTTTGTAGTTTTAGGTCACATGCTGAATATCTTAACCATCTAGCAGTTATTGTTCTGAAAGAGATACAATGGACTTTGACCAGCAGTAGGAAGAGGGTTAATGGAGAGTTCTATCTTATTATCCACTATTGAACTTTTACTACTGTAATGTTATATAATATGAGACATTAAATTGTTTTAATTTAATATTTTAATATAAAATACTCACTAGAATGTTTGGAGTTTATTTATTATCAAGGTAATAGAAATTCCTCATTAGAAAGATATAACATGAATAAAATATAGTTATGGAATAAGGCCATATTCATAAGCATTTCCTAATGGAGATGAATTATAGGAGTGTTTTTTCCTACCAATAGGGCAAAAGTTGGATTGTTAAAAGAAGTTATGAAGATTTCCGTGTACTTGATAAACATCTTCATCTATGTATTTATGACCGACGATTTTCTCAGCTCTCAGAACTTCCACGTTCTGACACCCTGAAGGATAGTCCAGAGGTGAGCATTGAGTATTTTGTATAGTCCAGAGGTAAGCATTGAGTATTTTAGTACACTTAGTACAGAATTAATCACTGTATATGAATTTGTAGAAACTTTTGTCTATATACTGAATACAAACTTATATTGAACACTCAGGATGATTCTTGGGATTGCTAAACTGTTTCATTATTGAAAAATTAGTGATACTAAGTAGAATGTTTAGAATTAGAGTAGATATTGTATATAATTTTATGAGAGAGGAGACTCATACCATAAATACATAAACAGGCAATATATGTGAGCAAATCATTCTCCAGAGAGGATATAAGGTATGGAAAAATGTTGACTTCACTAATAATCAAAGAAATCCACATTAAAACAATGCCGTTCGGTTAGTTTATGATGGCAAGCTGTGTTTATGCACCTATCTCCACTCCTGCCAAAAATGTCTAGTTAAAAACATAAGAGATTTCTAAAAAATTAAAAGGAAAAGACTCTTTATAGCACCAGTAAACAAAGTGCCATTAGCGAATCAAAATTTTGAGAAATCTTTAAAAGTAGATTGAATAAGATTTATGGGAGGAGAAAATACAGCCTAAAATATGTACAAGAGGAAAGCAAAAAATAGGTAAGCTAGAAATCTTACACATAAAAACTTGAGTAAACAAAATAACTGAGAACAAGCAAAAGACCTTTGGGAGTATGATTACTGTACTTTGAGGGAAAGTGATGTTATCACATCCATAAAACGAGGGCAGATTTTTATAAAATAAAATAATCAGATGTTTTAAATGAAAATACCACTTAAATTAATTTTTAATAATAGCTATATTTTCAGATTTATTGGGTCCATTGAGTACTAACATAAAATGAATGAAAAAACTCATACACCTAGAAATATTGTAGTGGAATTTCAAAATGCTAAAACAGAAAAGCATCCAGAAAGTGAAAAGCAGATTTTCTCAAAAGAACAAGAATTATATTGACATTAGACTTCTCCTCAGCCATGGTGGATGCTTGAAAACTGTTCAGGAATATCTTCTAAGTCCTGAGGGGAAATCATTTTAAACCTATAATTAATTCCAAGGCAGTTAAGTAGGTAGGGCAAAGCAGAGACTTATCAGTAATAAAGGAACTGCCACTGCAGCAGTGTCTCAGACATGTGCTAAAACCACAGAGTACTTTGTACCATTGAAAATCTAGAAGTCTCTCCATTTCTCATGTCTCTTTCATTTTTCTCTCTCAGATTGTCAAGACATGGCTGCTACCAATAGGTTCCAGTTTTTTAATCTCCTTTTTTTTTTTGAGTCAGAATCTCACTTTGTTGCCCATGCTGGAGTGCAGTGGCATGCTCTCGGTCACCATAGCCTCGACCTACTGGGCTTAGGTGGTCCTTCTGCCTCAGCCTTCCAAGTAGCTGGAACTACAGGCATACGCTGCCACGCTCTTAATCTCCTTTTAAGAGAGCAATCAGTTTGAACTGGAATCTGTAGCACAGTTCCTAATTCCAGGATTAACTCTTGATTGATCCAGGTAATCAAGACATTCCTAGACCAATCAGCTGTACCACAGTGTATGATCACATATGAACATGCTGTTCCTGTCATAGCTGTGTGTATGGAAGATTACAGTGGGTTAGAGGAAAAGGATTTCTGAGTAGTAGGAAAAAGCCATACAGAAAAGCCAAATATAGATCTGCTAAAGTTATCTTTTAGTATTTTCATTACAAAAATAGGGGAAGTGATAAAATTAGAAGCCGTAGAATGGTATGACTCTTGATATTAATGGGAAATAATTAAAACTCTTCGTGAGACCGTCGCTGAATTATTGTGTATGTGTCCATAGTTTCCGTGTAAGCCTCTCTGAAGAATTCTCTGTAACTATTAAAATGCCTAAAGATCTGTAGATTTTTAATTTTATTCCAGAAGCAATTAGTTTACACCAGAGAGTTCTGCCAGAGAAAGTAGTATCTTTTCTCTGAGTTACACTGAATCTTTTTCATTTTAGTCAGTCACTCAGATGCTAATGGCTTACCTGTCACGTCTTTCGGCCATTGCTGGCAACAAGATCAACTGTGGGCCTGCCCTTACCTGGATGGAGGTATTATTTAATTCACCTTTTATGAAAGTATATTTTAAAATTATCTACTTAAGTAATTTAGTATTAACTTATATTGAGTTTCAGAAATCTGTTAGATATGTGATACTGAAAATATTTTTCAACTAAAATCTTTATTTCTTTGATAATTCAGGAAACTAATGTTAATATATTTTATGAATCTCAATTGTATCTGTTGTTTTAGTGTTCAGTGTATTGAAGTATACATTTAGCAAGGTATACATATTTTTTCAGTTGACTTAGTAATTAAAAAATTTTTCAAATTATTAACAAGAGACGTTTTAAAGGGTCCTATTTAAGAGTAAGTATTGAATGAAACATTATTCAATAAATATGTTAGGTATTTATTCTTAATTTGCATGTGTAGAGTTATATTATTTTCTCTTCCCAGTTTCCACTGGGAAGACAAGATAGAAAGTAGAAAGAGCTATGGGCTAGCCTGACTTGCATTGAGATCTTGACTTTAACATTATTGACTGTGTGATCTTGGAAAAATCAATCTCTTGTAAATTACATTACATCTTTCAACTTTAGCATCTTTACCTTTTAATGATGATAAGTATCTTATTTATAGTTATGAAAATTAAATAGAATTATACATGTTATATGTACAGTACGATGACTGACATATGTTAACTACCCAATAAATGGTAGTGTTTTTATTAAGGCTCTTGGGTTATTATATCTCTAAATTAAATTGAATTATCATGAGCAATGTTTATATACCTAACCCTGAATTGTACCCCACAACTTTATAATAAATAATAAAATTTAAAAATTAAAATTTAAAAAATTTTTAAAAATTGAATTATCTTTTAAGTCAAATATTTGCAAGTTCTATGTCTTTTTTTTTTGTTTTTGAGTCAGGATCTCACTCTGTCACCAGGTCAGAGTGCAGTGACATGATCACAACGATCATGGCCCATGCAGCCTTGACCTCCTGGGTTTAGGAAATTCCTCTACATCAGCATCTCAAGTAGCTAGAACTACTGGTGGACACCACCATGCCCGAATAATTTTTTAATTTTTTGTAGAGATAAGGTTTTGCTAAGTTGTCAGGCTGGCCTTGAATTCCTGGGCTTAAGCAATTCACCTGCCTAAGCCTCAACGTGCTAGAATTACAGACATGAACCACAGTGCCCAGCTACCAAGTCTCACGTCTTTAACCATCTCATAGTACATTTTTTTTGTTACAGATTGATAATAAGGGAAATCACCTTTTAGTTCATGAGGAATCATCCATCAACACTCCTGCTGTTGGTGCTGCCCATGTTATAAAAAGGTACACTGCTCGGGCTCCTGATGAATTAACCTTAGAGGTAAATAACTAATAAATGCCATTTCTTTTTTTATCCCTGCTACTTTTACAGCCTCATATTTAAATGTTTTAATTATTTCTGTAGTCCTATATCTTTCAGCCTGGGATATCTTCGATTTTTGTTTAAATGACTGTTCTCATCCTTGAAAACTGAGTTTGCACATCTACCATTTCCTCTAGGAAGTTATCCTTGATTTCCCTCCCCTCACTCCATTCAAACACACACCCCCAAAAGACCTGGATTGAATGTCATTCTGAATTGTTCTCATGGTTTATTTCTGACTTATCTGTCACTTACTGTAGTCAATCATGATTGCTCTGTTTGTCTCAGTGAGTTGCTTGAAAGCAAGATGTCTTTTGTCTTTGTACTTTTAGTACCTTATAATAGTGATACCCAATTATGCCTTTTAATAATGTTTGTTGACAAAGACTGAGTTAAAGAACAAATGAAAGATAAAATGACTATTTCTTACTATCAGATGCAAAAGGAGGAGAATTAAATTTCTTCCTCTAAAAATATATATTGCCTGATGATAGAGAAAAAAATGCAGACAGGTATTCAGTGTAAGAGATAACAATATAACTTTTTACTATGTAAAATCTAAACTGATCTCAAACTAAACCTTTAGGTTCTATACAGAAAGAAGTATAGGTCTTGAATGATGCAATGTCTGTTAGCAAATACAGCTTTGTGAAAGTGGCTTATTTATGACTTGGAAGGTCTTTTGTGAATATACAAAGCAGAATTTCTAAAGCATTATAGTATTTGTTAGTACATTGCTCTGAAGTACTGAACTATGTTTTATCATAGGTATCAGCACCTATTTTGGTTAAAGAATGTAACTTCTATTGAATATATTATTTTAAACTATTGTAATTTTTGTAGTTATGATTTTGTACAAGTTTATATAAACTGACTACTTTGTCTTTTATAGTGAAGAAAGTTAGCTTCTTAGTAGAAATGTTACATTGTACCATCTATTGAAAAAAATGTAGTTGTCATCAAATTTTACCCTTACTAAGAATAACCCATCTTATGCCATTTTCTATATGGTTAAATAAGATATGTTAAGATCTTACAGTGCCCGATACATGATAAGCACTCACTGATTATAGTATTAATAGAAGCTGTTATTGTTCTAAATATGAGTATTTAAAACCATCTTTTATATGTGAATCTAATTACTTTTAGTGGCAGCAATAACTGGGGTTTTTTTTTTTCTTTTTTGAGTTGGAATCTCACTCTATCACCCAGGCTGGAGTGCAATGTGGAGTGTGGTGGCATGCCCATAGCCACCCCAGCGTCAACCCACTGGGCTCCAGCGATCCTTCTGCCTCAGCCTTCCAAGTAGCTGGAAATACAGGCGCACACTACCACGCCTGACTAATTTTTCGATTTATTGTAGAGATGAGATCTTGCCAAGTTGCCCAGTCTGGTTTGGAACCGCGGGCTCAGGCAATCCACTCACCTTGGCTTCCCAAAGTGTTGGGATTACAGGCTATTTTAGTATTTGTATTTGTACTAAAATATTTAGTATTTTAGTATTTGAGTATTTTAACAGAAGTGATGATAATGGCATGATGCCTAGCATGAAAAAAATCTTGCACTGTAAATCTGGCTTTCTGAGTTATTCACATGTGTCAGTTGGATCACAGACTTTGTGTGGCTTAACTATTTATCGACCTCTTGAAAAAATGGTAAGATTATTAAATTTTTTTTTTTTAAAGAAGTGTTATGTTTTTCCAGATATTATTAGTCAGAGTATATAATAGCACTTTACCTCTTTGTACAGTTCAGATTTAAATTCTAGATATGCCAATTAATTTAAAATTTAACTAAACCATTTTGCTTATGATTTTGATTGTCCTAGGTGGGAGATATTGTTTCTGTTATCGACATGCCCCCAAAAGTGTTAAGCACATGGTGGAGAGGCAAGCATGGATTTCAGGTAGGCAACAAAAAATTCAATGTAGAAAATTCAAAGAACAGTCTTCTTTATATTTCAGTGATACTTCTGTTTACAAGATGTACTGGCAGTGGACTTTATCATCACAGATTTTGTCTGCAGTGATAGAACAATGTTGACAATAATGATATTAGACTTAGATTCCCTTTTCTAGTTACTTTATGGTTGCTTTTTGTCTCCTTCTTCATCTTTAAATGATGATATAAGCCGGGCTTGGTGCCTCAGCCTGTAATCCTGCGCCTTTGGGAGGCTGTGGTGAGTGGATTGCCTGAGCCCGCGGGTTCGAGACCTGCCTGGGCAGGGAGACCTCATCTCTACAATAAGTCAAAAAAAACTAGCTGGGCATGGTCGTGCGCGCCTGTAGTTCCAGCTACGTGGAAGGCTGAGGCGGAGGGATCGCCGGAGCCCAGCAGGTCAAGGCTGCGGTGGCCCAGAGCGGCCACTGCACTCCAGTCTGGGTGACAGAGTGAGACTCCAACTCAAAAATAAATAAATAAATAATAAAAAAACAAATGATGATATAGCCAAAATGTGAATTTAGAGTCTCTGAAAATGCTTTCAAGTTGTATCCTTGATGTATAGCCCATGGTTTTTCTGTGGTCTGTATATACAAGTGTTACTAAAAAGCTCATGCTGTATAGTTAGAAATTTCATAACTATTTTATAAATATTTTAAGTTTTAACTACAAATTAAATAAAAGCAAATTATTAGCTTTTTATAAAATATATTTTATATAAAAATAATAATACAATTTAAAACAGTATACTGTGGTGGCTAGGAGTGTAGGGCTCTGGTGCCAGATTGTCTGGGTTTTAATCACATGTTACCTTTGTAAAATATTTAACTCTCTGTGTCTTAGTTGCTCCATTGTGAAATGGGGATTACAGGGCTATCCTTTAACTCAAAGTGTTGTTGTAAAGATTAAATGTACAAGAATAAAAATGTAAAGTACTTAGACCAGACCTGATATATAGTTTTTGATCAATCACTATTGATTTTTTAAAATTTAAATAATTCTGTTTTATTTTATGAATTTAATTATATCTATCCCTTTATCTATTGTAAAGGCATTTATGCAATTTAATTGGGTGGTTAAGACCAAAAAAATCATATTACCCCACAACTCTCCTTGTTTGTACTATTTGGGTCTTCCTTCATCTGTGCTCTGATTTCTTAACTGCTATGAATAATAAGTGATTTGATTAAATATAAAGCTAAATAGAAAACTAGGGTTATATTTTTCCTATTAAGGGGTCAATTCGTCATGTTAATGGAAATAAGTTATAAAACTTCAGGTCTCAAAGATGACTAAAACATAAATTTGGCTTTGAAATGACAGTTATGTTTTGGTCTTGATGTTACTACTAAATTTCTTATATATAACCTTCAACAAGTCATTTGCTTTCTTTGCACTCCAGTTTTTTCTTAAAATCTGAGAATTCTGCTTATAATCTCTCTATTGCTTTTCAACATTTTTATTCTATGATTGTCTAAATAGTAGCCAGTTTGCCCTTTATTTATGTAACAAATATTTGTTGAGTACTGAAACTACACTAGATTGAGATTTATGTTCCTATTTTATGGAGACTCACACAAATTAGTTTATTTCCTAAACAAACATTCTTTTCAAAATTAGTATAAATTAACTAGTCTAAAACTAATTAAAATTAGTTTATTGCCAAAAAAATTATTTAAAATGAAAACTATTTAACTTCAAGTATTGATTTGTAATTGTTCCTGTGGGAATACTATTTTTTAAATCTTGATTGGTCTTTTTATCTTGATTAATCATTTCTTTGATGATTAGTGAGGTTGAGCATAGAAAGGCAGTTGTAACTCTGGTAGATCATGTTGGAGTGTGGCTGTGTGATGAGAAGTTGTATGTGTTTTGGGGGGGACGTGCCTGTACAACCAGGAGCAAGTTCTTTTTTTTTTTTTTTTTTAAGTAGGATTTATTAAGAGAACAGAAAAGCTCCCACAGCCAGAGGGGTCCTGAAAGAGGTTGTGCAAGAAAGTTCTTAAATGTCAAAACTTTTTTTAAAAAAGGAGTTCAGTATTTGGGGGCAAGAATCTAGTAAGGCAAGTTCACCTTTCCTTACTGTTCCTATACACTAGTCCATTTGTAAGAGTGCCCATGGTTATTGCAGGGGAAGGTATGAAAGGCGAAACATGTGCTGAGCATCTATTACCTGCAAAGTATACCTCAACATTTTACAAGGAAATTTTCTTTAATTTCACAAAACTTTTTTTATTTTAATTTTTTTAATTTTAAAAATGTGGGGTACAATTCAGGTTTAGGTATACAAATGTTCATTATGCAGGTATCTTGTTGATGAGGTATGTTCCCCTTCCCCTGGCAGTTTCCCTCAACTGCCAATCCCCCCCACCCCAGCAGTTTCACACTCCTGCCAATCCCTTTCTTATAGTATTATGATAATTGTTCAAGGTCCGCTATGAGTGAGAACACGTGGTACTCAGTTTTCTGTTTCTGTGATAGATCACTGAGTATGATCGACTCTAAATCCATCCAAGTTGCTGCAAAGTCCATATGTTTGTCCTTCTTTATGACCGCATAATACTCCATTGTGTATATGTGCCACATTTTTTTTATCCAGTCCAGTTTCCGTGGGCAACATGGTTGGTTCCATGTTTTTGCTATCGTGAACAGGGCTGCAATAAACACGTGTGTGCAGGTTTTTTTTTTTTTTTTTGTAGAATGATTTGAATTATAGTAAAGATTAACCAGTTGTGGATTACAAACCATATATGTTTATTAGTAGAAACATTGCATACTGTGTTTTGTTTTTATGTATGCTGGGGAAAAACTCTTCAGGTTTTTCATGATGTTGCCTATCCTTGTTAGGAATTTTTAAATTGTAAGCATTTGCCCCTCCTGAGACATTCTTTTGAGAGAAGAAGAGAGTCATAATTGTTCACGTACATGATAAGTGTAAATCATGCTCTCTTTATTTTTTTTTAAAAGATGTGGGGTATAATTCATGATTAGGCATACAACTGGTCATCATACAGGTAAAGTTTGGACCTCCCTTTGGTCCCCACTTCGCCTGGTTTGACGTCAGATACCCTTAGTGATGTTATGATGTTATGTGCCCCTTCTCCCCTCAGCAGCATCCCACTACTTCTAATTCCTTTCTTATAGTATTATGATAAATGTTCAAGGTACACTTATGAATGAGAACATGTGGTACTCAGTTCTTTGTTTTTGTGGTAGATCACTGAGTATTACAGACTCTAAATTCACCCAAGTTGCTGCAAAGTCCATTATTTTGTCCTTCTTTATGACTGCATAATATTCCATCATGTATATGTACCATATTCTTTTAATCCATTCTACTTTCCATGGGCAGCACAGTTGGTTCCATGTTTTTGCTATTGTGAATAATGCTGCAATAAACATGCATGTACAGGTATCTTTTTTATAGAATGATTTGAGTTCCTCCAGGTTTATTTCCAGGAGGGGGAAGGTTTTTGTGGGCTTTGTGGAAGGTTGACTTTTAGATCTTTTAGGAATCATCATACTGTTTTCTACAGAGGCTGTATTAGTTTACACTGCCACTAACAGTGTAGAAGCATTCCCTTTTCCTTGCATCCTCTCCAGCATCTCTTGTTTTTTGTGTTATTGATGATGGCCATCCTGACTGGAGTTAGGTGGTATCTCAGTGTGGTTTTGATTTGCATTTCTTTGATGACTAGTGAGGCTGAGCATGTTTTCATGTATCTGTTGGGTGCTTGTACGTCTTCTCTTGAGATGTGTCTATTTATATCTTTTGCCCACTTCTTATTAGGGCTGTTTGGTTTTTTCCTCCTTTCAGCATGTTTGAGTTCCCTGTAGATCCTGGATGTTAGGCCTTTGTCAGATATACAGTCGGCAAATATTTTTTTTCCATTCTGTGGCTGTCTCCCCATTTTCTTGAGGGTTTCTTTTGCTTTGCAGAAACTTGTCAGTTTGATGAGGTCCCTCTTGTCTATTGTATATCTGATGGCATGGGCATCTGGGGTTTTGATTAGGAATTGGTTGCCTATTCCAATTTCTGTAAGTGTGTCTCCTGTGTTTTCTAGGATTCTTATAGTCCATTTAGAGTTGATCTTTGTGTATGGTGATAGGTAGGGGACCTGTTTCAATCTTCTGCATGTGGTCAGCCAGTTTTCCCAGCACCATTTATTGAGTAGGTTTTCTTCTCCCCAAAGGTTGTTGGTAGAGGCTTTGTCAAAGATGAATTAGTTGAGAAATTGAAGCTTTGCTTCCAGAATCTCTATCCTGTTCCATATATGATAAAGCCACAGCCAACATATTGCTAAATGGACAGAAATTGGAAGCATTTAGCCTGAAAACCAGTACAAGACAACACTGCCCACTCTCACACTCCTGTTCAACATAGTGTTGGATGTCCTAGCTAGAGCAATCAGACAAAAGAAGGAAATCAGTGGTATCCAAAAAGGAAAAGTTATTCCCTTTTGCTGATAATATGATCTTATACCTTAAAAACCCAAGAGAATCTTTCAGAAACCTCCTAGCACTGATAAAGGACTTTGGCAGTCTCAGGGTACAAAATAAATGTGCAAAAGACATTTGTGTTCATATACACCAACAACAGACAGAGAACCAAATAAAAAGCACAATTCCATTCACAATAGCCACAAAGAAAAAATGAAACACCTCGGCATCTTCCTAACCAGAGAAGTGAAAGACTTTCACCACAAAAAAATAAAATACCTAGGAATACATCTAATCATTCATTCCTTCATTTGTCTGTTAGGTGCTGTGTCCATTTGCTAAGGCTACTACTATAACTAAACATTACAGACTAGGTGACTTAACGAAACACTATAGACTGGGTAGCTTAAATAACAGAAATTTATTTTCTCACAGTTCTGGAAGCTAGACATCAAGGTACCAGAAGGTTTGGTTCGTTTTGTGACTTCTCTCCTTGGCTTTCATGTGGGTGTCTTCCTGCTGTGT